AATACTTTAGAACTATATTTCCTAAAATATAACTCTGTGTGTGTGTGTGTTCGACTAGAGATTGAACCCAGAACCTTGTATGAGACTGTACAAGCACTCTACCACTTGAGAACTCAACACTCCAAACCTTTTAAAATATATCATCAGTTTTTTGACATAGATTTTTTGCTATGTATCTCAGGCTGACCTTGAATTCATGATCCTCCTGCTTCATCTCTTAAAGTGCTAGGATTAAATGCATGAGTCATTTAAATCGGCTCTATATTACTGATTTTTAAAAATGTAGTGACATTTCTTCACTTGAAACTTCTACCTACTGGGGGGTGACATTGATCAAATTCATTGTACACATATTTTGACATGTTGAATTGAAACCCTTTGGATATAGGTATTTAAGCATAACAAAAACAAATTTTTGCCAGATGCTGGTGGCTCAAGCCTGTAATCCTAGCTACTCAGCAGGTTGAGATCTGAGGATCCCAGTTAGTAGATCGGCTTGGCGGGAAAGTTGGTGCAACTCTTAGCTTCAATTAATCACAGAAAAAGCTGGAAGTGGTGCTGTAGCTCAAATGGTAGAGTGCTAGCCTTGAGCAAAAGGAACTTAGGGACAGCACTGAGGCTGAGTTCAAGGCCCAGGCTCAGAAAAAAAAATCTTTAAAAAACCCCAAACTTGCTTACCTTCAGTAACATTGTGTTTTGGTTACAAATTCCCAGAAACTAATCTGAAAAGGAAAAATGTTTTGGAACTACTCCTGTTAAGAAATGATAATTAAAAATGAGTTTTTAATTATTATATTTTAATATAATAGCAAAAGCCTTAATATCCATCACTGAGGAACTGAGAGATCGAAGTCATGCAGCTGGGACTGAGAACTGGGGGTTCTGTGGAAGCAGGATGAAGGCCAGGACATGAACCCCACTGTGTCCTGTACCTTCAAGATAGGAACTGAGGCCTATTTCTACCAAACAGTAGTTTTTCAGATCTCTAAGTGGAGCACAAAGAGGCTTTGAGCAGTAAGATACTGCATATGAAAGTGATGTTTGGTAGGGCAATAATGAAGGTTGCTGCTCTCTGAAAATGGACTTTGAAATGGAGGAATGAGAAAGGTTGGAACATTTAATCAATGAAATAATAATGAGTGCAACAAACAAGTTCAAACAGGGCTGGGTAGGCTTGAAGTCAGAGATGCAGAGTTCACGTACACTATATGGGAAGCAGTGGAATGCAGGAAGAATTGAAATGCATAAACTGATTGGCTCATTGGGAGGCTCACCCAAACTTGTGGTTTGTAGCTTTCTCATTTCTTCAGGATTCTACCTTGCATGACACTTGACACTCCCTTGTATGATACTCTTGCCTCTGATTCTTGGCTTAAATGTGGCTCCAGCGCTGCCCCACCCCACCATGAAATCAAGGTTGAGCCTGTGGGCCAAGACCCAGAGTATTCTGGCACACCTCTTTCTGCACCACCAATAGGTGTAGGGGTGGGTTCAGCAGACACCTGGCAGCAACCTTGGGCTAAGTAACCTGGCCTGGGCTCATTTAATCTCCTGAGGCTAACCTAAGGCAAAGGCCATCCTCCTTCTGATAACACAAGTGTCAGAAATCCAGGACAGCCAAGTAAAGGCTATACATTTGGGGTAGAATGAGGAGGCTTCACACTGGTTCACCTCGGCCTAGGATGCTTCCTGGTGGGGCCTTACTGATCAGAGCAACAACAACAATAGCAATATAGTGGGGGGGCACGGTGTGTGTGTGTGTGTGTGTGTGTGTGTGTGTGTGTGTGTGTGTGTGTGTGTGTAACTGATCACCCCACAGAAAGGTAACAGCCACTTCCTGATTTGCTCATGAGCCACATCTCCTCAGACTTGGAATGTAGTGAACTCCAGACTCCAGCATCCTAAATCTGAATCCTGTAGACCTCAAACTACCAGCATTTGTCCAGATCAGAGGCCCCTAGCACTGGTTAGACACACTACTGTGTGTCTGGGATTTCATTTGTTTCTTTATTAACGCAACTGTCTGGTTTAAGTATCCTTTGCCCACTTTTCAGAGAAGGAGGGTTAGGGATCTTAATGACTCGCCTGGGGTCACAGAGCAAGAAGGCTGTGAAGCAGCTTTAAAGCTGTGTTTGCTGGACAGAGCCCACAGCCCTCCCACTTCGGGGCTTGCTGGAGGGAGATTTTTCTGGGCAAGAGATCTAAAAAGTAAGGATGTTGCAAGATTTCTCTGAAGGACCCAGCATAGAAGTATGCCACCAACTTTGTGGTTTCTGGGCCACTGGTTGCTAAGTGACAGTATTAGACAAGGTGCTGATGAGACTGTTGCCCCTGTGTATGCACGGAGAGGGGGCCTGTAGGGAATACATGCAGTTGTTCCTCTAACTTGTATTTGAGGGTTTTTGTTTTTGTTTTTTAAACAGAGAGAATCTCCTTTCTGACCACTATGTTCTTCTTAAAGCTTAGAAGGACACTTGTTCTTTACAGGAGTGTAAAGCATTCAGTAGGAAAAGAAACGATTTGGGCTATTCTGCCACTTTGCAGTTCAAATATCATTCAGAACACATCTGTTTCTATTTAATTCGTTTGCCTTTTGCAAAACATCAAGGATGATTTTGAAATAAATAAGAAGCAAAATATCCTGTGGAACCAAAGCAGTCTAATATCTGACCAGCTGAAAATATTTTGTTTTGCTTAAGTATGTCCAGAGCAAAAGAAAAAAATGTATAAAAACCTATGGCTAGCCAGACACCTGTGGCTCACGTTTGTAATCCTAGCTACTCAGGAGGCTGAGATCTGAGGATTACCGTTCCAAGCCAGCCCAGGCAGGAAAGGCCGAGAAACTCTAATTTCCAATAAACCACCAGAAAACTGGAAGTGGTGCTGTGGCTCCAGTGGTAGAACACTAACCTTGAGCTAAAGAGCTGAGGGACAGCGCTCAGTCCCAGAGTTCAAGCCCCATGACCGACAAAAACAAACAAACAAACAAAAACTATGGTTAAAGTGTAACTTAATCCTGCAGATGTGGCACACATTTGTGATCTCAGCTTCTCAGGTGGTAGAGGAGAAAAAGGTTGAATGCTTGAGGATAGCTTGGGGCTGTGTAGTGAGACTCTGTCTGATGTTAGATCAGTTAAAGAGCACTCACCTGGCATGCGTGAGGTCCTGGGCTCAATCCCCACCATCATAAATAAATAATGATAAAACTCTAGTACTCTATTAGAGTAGTTCTTTCTCATGAGCTCTGACTTATTTTTATATGTGTGTACTGGGCTTGAACTCAGGGCCTTGCACGCTTGCTTGGCTTTTTGCTCAAGAATGATGATCTACAATTTGATTCACAGCTCTACTTCTTGCAGGTTAGTTGGAGACAAGAGTCTCACAGCCTTTCCTGTCCAGTCTGGTTTCTAACTCATCTCTCAGCTTTCTGAGTAGCTAAGATTAAGGTGTGAGTCACTGGCTCCTCGCCCTGTGAAATAACTTTAAACTAGGATGGCACATAGAATCATCTCAAGGTGCCCACAGAAGATTAACAGAGCCCATTTAGGGACAGGGCAGCAGCTAAAAGTGAAATGTAGAGGGTTCAGATGTATGATATGTGTTAGAAACTCAGTTTGTATGACGTGTATTAGAAACTCAGTTACCACAACCCAGCCATGTACAAGTGGTTCGCAATCTGTTTGTTTAACCACCATCATAGATTTTCTCCTTTGTGTCATGTTATTTTTTTAAAGCAACCTAAACTGTTTTATTGGCTTATTTTACATTTAAAAAATTCTTGAGGGCTGGGAAAGTGGCTCAGTGGTAGAGTGCTTGCCTTGCATGCACAAGACCCTGGGTTTAATTCCTCAACACCATATAAGAAAAAAGCCGGAAGTTGCACTGTGGCTCAAGTGGTAGAGCGCTAGCTTTGAGCTGAAGAGCTGAGGGACAGTGCCAAGGCCCAGAGTTCAGGCCCCACGACCAGACCAAAAAAAAAAAAAAAAAAATTCTTGAGACATAGATCTGCTAGTTAGAGCTTAGAATTGAGATTACGTAGTCTTATTTTACCATATTAGGCTGATTTTATTAAAACCAAAATATAGACATTTGAATTAAACCTCTTAACTATCATATGTGGTACCTTTTTATTTCTGCCTAGGCTGATGAAAGATGAAACCTGGGGAAAGTGGGAGCAGAGGTTAGTTCTTATGAGGAAGTCACCTGAGTTCTTAGGAACTAAACTTTCACTAAGTTGCTGCTGTCTGGGTAGGAGCCACAGGGACACAACTGACCTGAGCCATTTATACTGTCACTTCAGTGTATCCCTAGCTCCAGAAAAATGAAGATGCTACCTTAGCCGTTCCTCTGCTCCTGGAGTATTTGAGTTGGTTACCTTCAAGCCTATTGGACTTGCGTTAATAGAAAACAAACATTCTACCCTAACTTAAAATGACTTAACATGTTATGGAATGACAACTATTCTATAGCATCAAAATAGTCTTACTTGAATTATAATCTCAAAGGATCATGATAGATGCTCTAGCATGGCGTTTGTTTTTTAAAGTAGCAAAATTAATATCTGGAACTCTATTTGACCAGCATAGAAAGGGGAGAGTCTGTGTATGTAAGATATCATTGCATTCTAATTTTATTAGGTATTTGCTGATTGTAGTGCATGAATTAACAAGATGTTAGTCAGTAACTTAAAAACAATTATTTTGTGGAAACAATTCTCATGAATTGCATTAAGAAGAATGAATGGAATGAAGAAAATAGGTACATGTACACATATTATATATATATATGTGTGTATATATAGCAAATGGCATAGCATAATCTGTAGAAATAAAAGAAAAATTGTCTTAGGAAAGATAAGGGTGTCTTTTTGTAAACCATTTCATGCAAGCTGTTACATACCAGCTTTAAAATTAAAAGATTAAAATGGATTTATATTGTTCCTGTGAATATTTTGCATTTTAGTAATCAAACACTGTTCTTGATCTTGTCTTGTTTTACAGGACAATCAGCAAAAATCCACCAATGTGGTCTATCAAGCCCACCACGTGAGCAGGAATAAGAGAGGGCAGGTGGTTGGAACAAGGGGTGGATTTCGAGGATGTACCGTGTGGCTGACAGGTATCGACCTGTATATCTATCAACATATCTATATTTTTATTTATTGAGGGTGTGACACAGTTTAAGAAAATTAGTGTACCATATTCACATGACACATGTTTAATTTAACTTTGAAGGAAGCTAAAAGCTGCCTAGGGAGCCAAAATGTTAGTCTTAATTCTCCCATTATTGAACAATAGAGTTTTATCAAGTTGTAAGAAGTCTGTAGGGGTCAATTTCTCCTCTTTGATGGGATGTGATAGAGCCATCCTCTTTTAGCTCTAAGGAACTCAGGAATCTTTATGCTCATCACTAAATGCATTCACTGGCAGTTATGAATGGGCCTTTCCTAAACTGGACACCAAGCAATTGGATACCAAGGCATGGGTAACCAAGATTTTAGATTTTACAGACAAATAGTCTCATGTGTTTTAATGTTTGACATTCTAGAGAACTGTTTCCTTTACTATACACAAATCTAAGACTCTATAAAGAAGAGCTAGAATATGGGCAAGGATGGAAAAATCCACTTGGCCAATAATTGTCCTTTACCTGTAAAAATAACTTGCCTCCACTAGGTAACCCATTAAGCCTCTCTTTTCTTGTGTTTTTGTAACCACAGAATGTCAAAGTTAAGAATTATTGACAGAACTGAAATTAATGCCTGAGAATCCTAACACTGAGTACCAGTTTGAAAAGTGTTTCCTGGGAATGAGTCAAGCACAAGCCTCGGCTCAAAAGGAAAAGCCAAGTTCATTGTATAGACACAACTTTTCACTTAGGAATGAGTGTAGATGAAGAGTGTGTTTATCCAGCATCTGAAATCAGTGGAGGTGCTGTTTTCTGCTCACAAAGGCAAATAGATTCTAATCTGAGGATAAATTCTAAAGCTAAGGCAGGGCGGGACCTGCCTTGTCCCTTTTTTTGTTATTCTGAGGTGGTTTATTATTTTTTTCTTTTCTGTTCCTGTCCAAATTATCCTTAGTCTTCTTGTATTTTCAACTGTTTGCTTAGTGCCTTTGGTTTCCTGGTTTCACTTACACGTGGACCCTGCATCCAAACAACGTTCTCCATCTTCTGGACAGTCAGGGATACTGAGCTACTTTGATCAAATACATAGTACCTTCTTGTCACAATTCCTGAGAGTTTTACCCCAACTTTCTCCAAGAGACCCGATGCGTAGTAGTACCTACATCTGTATTCCAGAAATTTCCTTCCTGTCATATGTTTGCCTTACTAGTGATGACAGCTTTTGTGTGGGACATACCGATAAATTCTAGTTTCTCTGATGTGATCCTCACTGGAAAACAGAAAAAAAAAACCTAGGAGAAGGAAAAACTATAAAGGTATATTCCTGCTGTGATTTTCTTTTACTATTTAAAAATATCACCTTTTCCCCAATTATTATTTTATTCTTAGGTAAGAGATTAGGGTATTAAACAGACAGACTAGAAGAAACTAAATACTTTAGATCCAGAGACTGAGATTTGAGCTCCAGCTCTGCCTATGACTTTGGAAATACAATTCTCCTTCCTAAGCCTCTTTCTTTATTTGTAAAATAAGCATACAGATCAGCACCTGTCCTATGGACGTATATGAGAACTAATTGCAATAAATTACCAATAGACGCAGCATCGTGCTTTACCCATAGTAAAATTCTCAGTATAGTCTTACCCTAATAAGTTAAAATAAATAAATATAACAACAATCTAGGGCTGGGAAGGTGGCTCAGTGGTAGAGCGCTTGCCTTGCATGCATGAGGCCCTGGGTTCGATTCCTCAGCAACACAGAAGCAAAAAGAAAAAAGCCGGAAGTGGTTCTGTGGCTCAAGTGTAGAGCGCTAGCCTTGAGCTGAAGAGCTGAGGGACAGCGCCCAGGCCCAGAGCTCAGGCCCCACAACCAGACCAAAACAAAACAAAACAAAACAAAAACAAAAACAAACAAAAAAAACCAACAACAATCTAGTTAAATACATTTCCTGAGACTTCTGTTTCCTGTGATCCTCTGATCTCAGCCTCCTGAGTAGCTAGGTCTACAGGAGTAAGCCTTTGGAGCCCAGCTTTTTTTGTAATTGTTAAAAAAATTCCTTTCCACCTTTTCCAATCATATGTTGAATGCTGTCTGACAGTGGCTTGGCAGCATGGACTATTCTTCAGGTTCAGAATTCTCTAGGGCAAGTGAAGTTGTCTAGTGCTTGTCCTCAAAGTGGCTCAAATGTCAGCTCTTAAGTGTGTTTGGTAGGCTGTATTTCTTTTTTCACAGTGTTCTCCCTCATCTAGAAATTACCCTGTGTTCCAACTTGTGCTTTGACAGTGTGATGGACTGCTCATGGTAACTCTATTCTCATGTAAAGACCTTCAAGAATAGTTAGTCCTAAGAGTATGATTATTCCTAAGAGGTCTACATACCAAGGTTAGTATGACTCTCTTCATTCCTATGTTGAGAGTCACTCTGGAGATAGCTTGAAGCCAAAAAACAGTGTGTGAGCATTGAGGTCAGATGGTTGCTTGGTGGCATGTGGCAGGGAAGTGGGTTTGACATTCTCTTGGTCTTTGTGTCTCCCTCCACAAAGCCTACTTGCAACCATCTGAGAGGATGAGACCACCATTATCAGAAATCTAGATTTGAATAAACAACTCTCTGATCTTTACTATGCTCTGCAGGCAAAATAGAACACACAAAAAAATCATATGTAGCCCCTAGATCTCCCTATTTATAAACCACACTTGTTTTGAAAGATTACAATCCTAAGAGGGAGCAAGCTCTCATTTCAAAATTAGAAATAAACAAAAGAACTTGGCTTGCTATGAACTCTACTGTTTTGCATTTGATTTATGATCCATCAGAGAAATGCAATGAGTGTTTAGATACATTCAAAGGACAGATTAGTTCACAATATATCATCATAAACAATTGGAATCACCCCAGTCTGTCTTACCGGTTCTGGACAGGTCTCTCTGGTGCTGGAAAAACAACAATAAGTTTTGCTCTGGAAGAGTACCTCGTCTCCCATGCCATTCCTTGTTATTCCTTGGATGGAGACAATGTCCGTCATGGCCTTAATAAAAATCTTGGATTCTCTCCTGGGGATCGAGAAGAAAATATTCGACGGATTGCCGAGGTGGCCAAGCTGTTTGCTGATGCTGGTCTGGTCTGCATTACCAGCTTCATTTCTCCATTTACAAAGGTAAAAAGATTTGTCACTGAGCATCATCTGACCATAGTGCAAATGTCTTCCAAGTGCTGAGCACAGAGTACGATGGGTTGAAAGGAGCCACCAAAGGAGGCCCTTACTATACACACACACACACATACACACACAGGCTCCCTCAATTCCACTGTTTACTACTGTTTACTTTGTTGGTTATAGAGAATTCCTACATTCCAGATGCCATGGCCTCAGTTAACATAAACCCTTTCACAGTTTCAAAGGGCTTTTTTTCAGAGTTGAAAGAACAAATTCAAACAAAACCTCAAAACCTCTATAATTTCACTTGCCTGAACAAGACTGCTTACCTTGCAAAACACACAGGTGCTTAATGTGGACATCACTGTCACTGTTTTTTTTTTTTTCATATCAGGAAACTGCTGGGAGCTACAAATAATGTGTAATGTGCTTTGAACATATCCTCAAAAAGAAATCTTCCCATGCCACCAGTATAGTAGTCTGACTGTTGTGTTTATCAAAGGGATATTTCTGGACTTTCTAAGAGCACAAGTCTCGAGGATGTCAAACACCAAAGCACACAAGGTTTTGTCATGAACTGTTTCACTATAAAATTTTGTTTTGATCCATTTTTGTTTTAAAATATTACAGACAGTGATTTTATATAGCAGAGAGGCTTGTTCGGTTTATAATCTGGGGGACTAGGAGGCTGGAGAGCATGGTGCTAGAATCTGAGGGCTCGTTGCTGCCTTATGAGGTGTCAGGGGAAATCCTATGACAAAACAGTGCAAAGATGGAGCTCAGTAATCCTCCCATGCCCCAGACAGGGTTTTGTTAGTTACCTACACTGGCCTCCAACCCCTGGATTCAAATAATCCTCCCACCTGAGCCTCCCTCTTGGATACTCCATCCTGATAACCATATCTAGTTTTAATTATTTCCTAAAAGTTCCATCTCCAAAATCCATCAACAGACACATTTGAAAACTATGTTTCCAACACATAAAATTTGGGGGTCAGGCCCTGCGCTGGTGGCTCACACCTGATCCTAACTACTCAGGTGGCTGAGATCTGCCAGCAGGGACAGAAAAGTTCCCATGAGACTTATCTCCAATTAACTGCTCAAAAAACCAGAAGTGGTGCTGTGGCTCAAAGTGGTAGAGGGCTAGCCTTTAGCAAAAAGAGCTCAGGGACAGCACCCAGGCCCCTGAGTTCAAGCCCCACAACCTACCAAAAAAAAAGGATCCAGAGAGCTTCAAACCATAGCAAACCTCTTTTTTACATTCTTCAACATACCATTTTTCAGGATCGTGAGAATGCCCGCAAAATCCACGAATCAGCAGGACTGCCATTCTTTGAAATATTTGTAGATGCGCCTCTCAATATTTGTGAAAGCCGAGATGTAAAAGGCCTTTACAAACGGGCCAGAGCTGGGGAGATTAAAGGTATGTGAAGCAGCTACTTCACCTCTTACAGTTAACTTTCTGAACCTGCTGATCTTCCTATTCTGTCCTCAGAAGTCGGCTAGAAGTTCCAAACTCTGTTTTCCAAAATTGCATATAAAGTATACAACTTGTTACCACATTGTAATATGTTCAGTATGCTCAGAGGCTTGTTAACATGTGGTTCTGAAAAATCTCTTAGGAACTGTTAGCTCAACCATGAGCAGTAAAGTTCAGAGAAGGAGAATGGATAAGTACATTGAGATAGGGAGGGCTGTTCAGTTTATTCTTCTTTCCTTTTTGATGTGAATCAGTTGTAGAGGTATCAGCCTTTACCAGATGTTATTCTTAACTTAGGACTTTATTAAAAATACATATGGCAAGAAGTCAAGGATGGCTGTTGACCTTTTCTGTCATGATACAAATTCTTAGTTTAACACATTATCCCAATACGTGTTATATCTTATTGATTAAAAAAATGATTCTGTTGGTATGCAGGTGATTTATCAGTTAATATCTTGCAGGATTTACAGGTATTGATTCTGATTATGAGAAACCTGAAACTCCTGAGTGTGTCCTTAAAACCAACTTGTCTTCAGTGAGTGACTGTGTCCAACAGGTGGTAGAGCTTCTCCAGGAGCAGGTGAGGGCCTGGCTGTCTCTTACTTAACCTTTATTGACTCTCACTTGCAAGGCAGACACTACTCTCTCACTTGAGGGGCTCTTCCCCAGCCTTTCTTTTTACTTTTTAACTAAATAAAGCCACGAAAGATAATCTGTCCTTTTTTTTATTAAAGCATTCTTTTTACACTTGTCACTTACAATTGTTGTCGATTTCAGAACATTGTACCCCATACTATAATCAAAGGCATCCACGAACTCTTTGTGCCAGAAAACAAACTTGACCATGTCCGAGCTGAGGCTGAGACTCTGCCATCATTGTCAATCACCAAGGTAAGAGGGCACAGGCTGTTAGAGGAGAATCAGGCTTCATGTCAGTCATAATCCATTTACAAACTCTTCTTTTTTTTTTTTTTTGCCAGTCCTGGTGCTTGAACTCTGGATCTGGGCACTGTCTCTGAGCTTCTTTTGTTCAAGGCTAGCATTCTACCACTTGAGCCACAGTGCCACTTCCAGCTTTTTGTGTTTATGTGGTACTGAGGAATCGAACTCAGGGTTTCATGCATACTAGGCAAGCACTCTACCACTAAGCCACATTTCCAGTCCAACAAGCTCTTGATAATAAGGAAGGGATGTATGAGAACCATATAGGGAGTGTCTAAGTCACTTTATTTCTGCCCCCTTTTTTTTTGGTCAGTTGTGGGGCTTGAACTCTGGTCCTTGGCACTATCCCTGCTCTCTTCAGCTCAAGGCTAGCACTCTACCACTTGAGCCACAGCACCACTTCCTGTTTTCTAGTGGTTTATTGGAGATAAGAGTATCAGGAACTTTCCTTCCTGGGCTGGCTTTGGACTGTGATCCTCAGATCTCAGCCTCCTGGGTAGCTAGGATTACAGGTGTGAGCCACCGGTGCCCAGCTTCTGCCCATTTTTTTTTCTCTCATGTCTCCTCTGAACAAATCTCTCCCCAAGACTTGCCACAAAGTAGCTGATAAGTGTCATGAATGGAGGCAGACTTGGAAAGTAACCTCTATATTTGCAGAGGACAGTTTACACAGATGTCACTGTTACTGCAGGGAAGGGTAATAATTTTTTTATGTTTTTATGTTAAAAAATAGTATACAGTGGGGTTACAGTTACATGAGTAAGGTAATGAGTACATTTTCTATCGAGCATTGTTACCTCCTCTTTTGTTTTTCCCCTACCATCCCTTCCCTCCCCACCTCCCCAACTCCCCCCACCAAGTTGTAAAGTTCATTTTCAACATAGTGTCTTGTACATATCATTGTTACAATAGGTCAACCTGTATCCTTGTTTCAGCATTTTGTTATTTCCCTTCCCCTCCCCAAATTAGAAAAATGTATGTACAAGATTCAGGGCACCAACGTTAAATCTGTTAGGAAATGGTAAGACTTGGGAAAAATTATATTAGGTGAAGTAAGCCAGGCCCAAAGAAACATAGGTCCTATAGTTTCCCTTATTTGCAATAACTAGTATAAATTTAGGACAAGCAGAAAAAGGCAAAAACCTATGTACTTATGACCATATAAGATGATGTTAAGTGAAATGAACCCCAAGATAGGTACCCAACTTGTTTTTTATTTCTTGCTATTGTTTTTAATGTATCTAAAATGTACTATGTAATTTTTTTGCTTCTCTTGTATGTTCTTCCCCCATGGTATAACCCCTGTTTTCACTCTATTTAATAATTATTAGTTGGCAGTGATTGAGATACCTCTGTCCAGAAGGCAAATGTCTTTTGATACTGCTAATATTGGTCTTTTATATAACTATAAATGTTTATACCTGTATACAATTTGGATTTTTTGAAACATTAGCCATGCTATCAATTTTGGAGAAAAAGTATCCTGGACAACTGTATTGAGTTGAGAATGTACAGAAATTAATAACCTTACTGGTCTAGAAACATTAAACATTTTTCCCATATGCACAAGAGTGATACATTGTATTAAAATGTAAGGTTTTGTCTGCATAAATTTGATAACAGAAACTAATTTCAGTATTTTTTATTTTTTATTGTTATTATACAGGTGTTGTGCAGAGGGGTTACAGTTACCTAAGTCAAGTAAAGAGTACATTTCTTTTTTGACAATGTCACCCTTTCCCTTGCTCATTCCCAGTTTTCCCCTGCAATTCCCACCACTAGCTTGTATAGTTCATTTTTAACATAGTGTCCAGTGAGTATCATTGCTGCATTTGTTAACCCTTTGTCCCTCCATTTCTGCATCTCCCATTACACTCCCAAAGACAAATTAATGATCAAACAGAACAAAAAGCCAAGAAAACAGAAACAGCAAAAGAAAAAAGAAAAAAAAAACTCCTGTTTCCATTTCCTGGAGTTCATTTCCATAAATATTATTTTGTATAATCAGATGCACACAGGCATTGTGCTTTTCTGTTTTTTGTTTTTGTTTTTTTGGGGTCCGGTCATGGGGCCTGAACTCTGGGCCTGGGCACTATTCCTCAGCTCTTCAGCTCAAGGCTAGCGCTCTACCACTTGAGCCACAGCGCCACTTCCAGCTTTTTTTCTTTTTGCTTATGTGGTGCTGAGGAATCGAACCCAGGGCCTCAGGCATGCAAGGCAAGCACTCTACCACTGAGCCACCTTCCCGGCCCCATAAAGTGGATATTTTTTTTTTGCAAGTCCTGGGGCTTGAACTCAGGGCCTGGGCGATTGTGCCTTTCTGTTCCTCTCTTAAGAGTGTCCTCCTTTAGTCTCACTGTGTGTGAATGCCTAGAGACTTGTATAATTTATTATGTCCCAATATAAGTATTCTTTAAACAATGAGAAAAAAAAAGAAGAAATTTGAAGCACACAAATAGCTGCCTTGATCTAAAGTGATGTGAATGCCTCAGTCTTTTCTCCCTTCAAAGCATACTTTTCTTTGGTCAGTCTGAGGAAAAAGCTGCACTGATTTTACCTAGAAGCTCTAAGCTGCAATCCCAGGCAACTGCTATAAATATGAACTTCTTATGGTTAGCATTAATTGCTTCATACAAGATCAAGTCTTTATTGATGCCTTTTTATTATTCCTTAAAACTCTGGAAATTTGATAAGGGGCAAGGTAAATAGGGAACTTGCTTCAGCTCATGCGGATCCCATACTCTAGTAAGTCATAGACAACTTATCTGTCAATGGATCCCCTGACCTATAAATAAATAAATCCTAAGCACCCTAACACTCTAGGCAAATAAATAAACACATAATAATTACAATGCCGTATTGAGAATTCCTGTAACAAATTGGTCTGAGAGGTGGAAAACTTCAAAAATCTAGTAACTAATTGATTAGGTCACAAGGATGACAGGAGAGGTTTTCGAGTAATGATCCATGAGCTGGGGTATAAGGGTTGAATAGGCCAATGGCCTATCAATAGGCCAATGGATGAAACACAAGCCTGAAAGCCTGTGTGTGCAGACTACACATCGCTTATTAGTATTGTTGGCAAACACGTACCAATTTGGGAAAAGAAGTCCTTCCATGAGTCACCCTGAGGGGCCAGACCTTGAAGGACTTTCAATAAGTATCATGCTAATACTTTTGGAATTTTTCTTACAGTTAGTTGCTTGATCAATTTAATCAGTAAGGTCATCCAGAGAAAAACAAAACAAAATACAGAGTCAAACCAGAATTTGTGTGGGGGAAAAAAATGAACAGTAAAATTTCAATTCCACTTCACATTGTGAGGCTAGTTGTAGCCTAATATGTTCAAATAAATCATCTCTCAATTTGGCATGGTTTTACCCCTCTTCCATAGAAAAGTTCTATACTCACATCAGTCTGGCTTTTAGGTTATAGGCCAGAATAACCTGTAGAAACAGGGAATATAACCTGGGATATATATATACTATAACAGGGAATAGAAAAGGTCTGCTTCATGCCCCTGTTACCTGAATAAGGAAGGAGTGCCCTGGGATGCCTGAGAAACAGGGTTCATGGAATCTTCTCTACTATTTGTGTTTTGCAGCTGGACCTGCAGTGGGTCCAAGTTCTCAGTGAAGGCTGGGCCACTCCCCTGAAGGGCTTCATGAGGGAGAAGGAGTACTTGCAGGTGATCCACTTTGACACACTTCTAGATGGTATGTTTCTTCTTGTTTCTTACTCTATTATTTAAAGAAAAACACTTTTGCTAGAAATTTGCATAACTGTTCATCTTCTCTTTGTCACTCTTACTGTGAAAGTATTTGAATCATTAATGTGAGCTCCATTCTATCCCATGTAAACTTCCATTTTTAACTTTTTTTGTTCTCAAAAGATTATTGATTACTTAAAGATAAGGAAATGCATAATTAAAGTTTTTACTTGCACACATAGTCATAAGAAGGTGTTCCCAACTGCTCTTGGCTTTTCTTGAACGTTCAGAAGCACCATCCCCCAGTGATGGCAGCATTGGGCCAGCCAAGATGCACTCAGAAAGGGTGAGTGCCTGGCCTGGCACCTCCCATTCTCCAATCCCTCCTGCCCAGTGCTGTCACCGCCGCTGCTTTCCTCAGTGAGTGCTGAGGTGTCCGCGTTTAAACCCACTCAGAATATGTCAAGACAGCTTCACTCTCTAAACCTACAGATGCCCATTCTGAGCAGAGGGGTTAAGGACTTTTAGAAAAATGATCTAGTCAAGATTAGAAATGTTACACAAGAATTTAGGACCCTTCTTTGATCGTTTTCTTCCTAAAACTGTCTGAACTTTTCAAATACAGCTTATCTATTTCATGACGTTGGGCCATGGCCATCAAGTGGGGAAGCAATAGGGATTGAGTCACTAGGATTTATAATAATTCTGAATAAGGCTTCAGACCTTTAAGGAAGAAAGATCAGATTGGCCTCTGCCTGGGGAATGGGGCATCGAGTCAGTAGCAAAGCTCATGGATAGTCAAGGGGGATGTTTCTCCCATTACTCCTCTTCCTGAAATTTGAGGCTTTCATTCTTCAGATTAAATAACATTTATTCTGGAATAAAACATTTTCAGACAAATGCTTTATTTCTAGCTTGCCTCGAAACAGAAACAATAATAACAATGCATAGCTGTACAGCATTTCTTTACTTTTTTATTTTATTTTATGTTTTTATTGTAAAAATTCTGTACAGAGGGGTTACAGTTACATGAGCAAAGTAATGAGTACATTTCCTATTGAGCATTGTTGTCTCCTTTGTTTTCCCCCTACTATCCCTTCCCTCCCACCTCCACAACTACACTCCCCTCAAAGTACTTTCTCGGGTATTATTTCATTTCATCCCTACAAAAGCTCTGTAAAACTGACCACTGTTATCCACTTTACAGATGAGATAAGCTGAACTCAGGTTAAGTGACTTGCTCAAGTTCATACCATTTGTAAATGAGACCATAGACCAGAATCCAGAGTCTCCAACATCTTCTGACTCCTGACCTAGTCCTTTGTCTATGCTGGGGTTGCTCCCCTCATGTCCTTTCCAATCGAATCTAGAAGGCAGATGTCTAGACAAGGAAATGTGACATTAACCTGATGTCTTAATTTCAACACATGCTGAACACAACTGTTCCTGAACTCAGCAGCCACTTACATACAAGAGGTTGACTATATGCATGTCCAAACTCACACTATGGGCCAGCGGATGAAGTGGTCCATGGTTAAAGAAGAGTCTCACTGAAAACAGTGCTTTTTACCTTTGCTCCATAAAGAAAAATGCCCAGGTGGCAGATGTGGTTGCAGAGGTCAGTTTTAGTGGAAGTTAGGGGTCCTTAGTTTGTAGTCTCAGACTTCAAGGGGAAAGGGATAGTATCTTCCTAGATGCCACACACCACCAAAATGAGTGGCCTGCATTTTGAAAAGAGAAACAGAGGGCATTTTCCTAGATTGGGATTTTGGCTTTTGATGGGTTCTATGACCCCAGATCATGAAGGTCAACGCATGCCAAAGAATCATTCTGGATAATTTAGGCAAAACTGGCACCTTTCCTCTGATACCATTCTGATTTCATTTTGTGGATATGACATACTGACTTTCTGTTTCTTATTTGGTCCTCAGTGCCCTGAGGTGGAGGAAGTGCTTGCTATTGCTCTCACTTCCCAGGTACTCTTGGTGCGCATTCTCCAGCATTGGCCTGAGATACAAATGCGCTTGTTTTTCCACTACAACTTGAGTCTCCTGGTTCTAATCCCTGCTGGCTCATAAAAAATTCCAGTGCTTTCCAAATATGCCTAAGTGTTTGTGAGAGTCCCTAGAGGGTGTGCCCTGTGCTCTTGGATCAGGCCCATAGCTGTTGCTATGTGCTGTGTGGATCTGTGTGGTTCTCTGCCCCCACAGCAGGGCAGATCCTGCCCAATCACTCCACCATCAAGTTCTTGGTACTGCTGGGGCTGTGGCAGTTAATGGACTATTGCTTTAGTGGAGGGATGGATGTTCCCTTCCCCTGTGTTAACTTTAGTTGAGACTCCCTAGAAGCTTGTTTGTATCGCACAGAATTACTCTTGGGGGCTGGGAAGGTGGCTCAGTGGTAGAGTGCTTGCCTTGCATGCCTGAGGCCCTGGGTTCGATTCCTCAGCACCACATAAGCAAAAAGAAAAAAGCCGGAAGTGGCGCTGTGGCTCAAGTGGTAGAGCACTAGCCTTGAGCTGAAGAGCTGAGGGACAGCGCCCAGGCCCAGAGTTCAGGCCCCACAACCGGACCAAAAAAAAAAAAAAAAGAATTACTCTTGGAATTTGTAAGGATCCCTTATCTTGTAGCTCCAGTGTAGCTATGTCCAGAGAGGTTCAAGCCCAGATTCAGCTGTTCCCATAACCTCTACTCCTTTCCAACCTGCAAGCCCTGTCCTAGGGCTTTAAGACTTCTTTAATCTTATGGAAACTGTCTGCTAGCTGTCCCATCTGCTTCTATAACCAGAGACAACTGGACATATTTACGGAGTCTAATTTATGCAATATAATTAGGACATACTCTGAGCCCTGCCTCACCCCTAAGAAGCATTCTCCGTTCCTAGGTAAACTAATAGCTAGAAGTAGATACTAGGAGCTGGTCGCAGATGGCCAATGCTTGTAATTCTAACTACTCAGAAGGCTGAGATCTGAAAATCATGGTTCAGAGCCAGCCTGGGCAAGAAAGTACATGAGACTCTTATCTCCAGTTAATCAAAAAAAGCTGAAAATGGAGCTGTGGCTCAAGTGGTAGTGTGCTAGCTCAGGGACAATGCCCAGGCCATGAATTCAAGCCCAGACCTGGCACATACACACACACACACACACACACACAAAGATACTAGGGCTATGATGTCCTGCATACCTCTACTATTCTCATTTTAGTTTTGGCCTAACTGAAGGCAGAAAGTCTAAGGAATACGACTGTGAACTGCAAAGCCACCTGGGTTGATTCATATGTTAGTTATGTGCTAGGGACATTGGCCCAATTATTTAGATTCTAGTCTTAGTTCCTTTATCTATAAAATGGGAAAAATTACAGGACCTCCTTCACTGGGATATTGAATACATGAAAGAATGCCTAGTCCAGTGTCTAGCTATCCACATTCTATCCTATCCACATTAGCTATTACCAGGAACTCCTCTTTCCCCTGCCCCCTCACACACACTGACTACAGTTAAGAGAACTTGGAACCTTGAAGAGACTAAGTGGGCTATCCACCATCATATCAGTTTGGAGTAACACCTGTAAGGTCATAAGCCAGCACCGAATCCCTCTTGAGTGCCTCATATACCAGCATTCATCTAGCTGCTGGGGGTAGAATAGTCATAAGGACATATGTATGCACTTGTTGGACAGCCAGTATGGCTTCTCTTCTGAGCCTGAGAGCAATAGTTTCTTCCCACCACATCTGCATCTGTGAAACTTCTTTCTTAAGTCAAAGGACTCTTTCAGTGGAATCAGTGGCAGTGCTTCCAGCAGTTGAAACTGAACTTCTTTCCTCAAAGGGGGTTGGGCTTTTCCTCCTTCTTCCTGGACAAAGCCTGGATGGTGTCCGGAGGAAGCCAGTGGCAACACTGGACTTTCCATACTGAGGCAGAGGGAGTCTCCGGACAGCCCCTGGCTTGACAGCTCTTGGACTAAGGAGGCAGAGTTAAACTTGAAAAAATAATTTCTTTCTCTATTTTTAACTTTATCCACCTCATGAAACTCTGCATTGCCACCATTGAAAATTTGAAATGTTTTGTGTAGCCACTTTTCTCTGTCATTAAACAATGGCGAATTTCTTGGTAATCTACAATGGTTTTTTTTTTAATTCTCGCCATGTCCCCTAAAAACTATTTGTTCATTTTCTCAAAAGTTCAATTTCTCCCTCAATTTAAAGATAAAGCTCAGTCTATTTAGTCCAAAAACAAAGGCAAAACATCTCCAAAGCAATCATGTGTTACGGTAATTGTAAATTGTTACTTCATCAATTACTCAAAAAAAACTCTTTATCTTAATACCAATATGTCACTTTATCTCTCACTGGAGAGATAGTTCCAAGGGTGTTTTAGACTCTCTTATAAATGTCATACCCAAGCTAAAAACTGGAATAAAGCTTATGTTGACTAATGGGATCAAGACATAGCTGCCTTTGAGAAATCATCCTTCGATGGCTCTGCACATGTCACCCACACTTTCTATGCACCAACACCTCTAAAGTTTGACACAGGCCAGCCCACTGAACCCGGATAACACCACTGTGAAGATGTTCTGTCCACACAGAAAGTAAGTTTTAGAAAGGTTAAACAACGAGTTATTTGAAGCTTAGATTCACATCCATATTTTTCTGGCTCTACCTAGTGCTTCTTTTACTGAGCATACTTTGATTCCCTCTAAACTTTTGGGATTTCTAGGACATTCTAGGGAACTTTGCCTTTGTATTTTGTCTCAAAATATGGTTGTTACATTACACATTTGCAAAAGATAAATTCTTGCTGAAATTAAAGGGGCTATTAACAATGCTTTGGAGTACAGTGAACAATATTCTATACAAATTCTGACATTACCAGATTTTTGCTGGCATCCTGTATTTTTCAATGGTTTAACAAAGAGCTCGGGGTATTTTTTATGTTGTCTATGTAAAATGCCATAATAGGAACTTTTTCCTTGACATTGCTTTAAAATTATTTTGATGGAGAGCTGAAATATGTTTCTTATGTTTGTGTTTCTCTAGGCGTGGTCCTTCTTGGTATGTACTTGAACTTTCCAAGTAGCTAAATTACTATAATTAGATATATTAATTTAAAATTGTTAAAGAGATAACAAAAAATCTAAATTAACTAGCTGGAATTGTTATCAGTTCATGATCCAACCAGTTATAGTAAAATAATACTTTGCTACACTTTTTCTATTGTTTGGAGTACAAACAACAGGAAACTTCTAGATCAGATGCAACTATTGTTTATAATGTGCTCAGCCAACAGTATTAAACATGCTTCTAAATTATGACTGCGCATTTTATTCCTGAGTTCTTTTAAATTTATAACTGCTTGCAATGACTGTTGTTCCACTTGTAGTTTAATAAGTCTGGACATACTTTTCCAAAGTGTTTTCCAAACATTCAAAATTGGCAAATCCACATTGGATACTATTTAAAGTGGATGTACCTGGTTGGATTGTGTGAGTTTGTACTTCTTTCATTGGTGATGTATGATTATGCATGAATTTAAATTCGAGCTATCATAATTGATAGTTCTAGAAATGGAAATAAATGTAGATCTCCAGTGACTGCAAATGCCTGCATTGTACCAGAATGAAAAGGTAAAATTTTGAAGATATTATTTATCTCTGGTATTGTGTTTGTCATTGATATTCTTTTCAAAGCCTAGGTATGCAATGAAGATTCTTTTCTTTTTCTTTTTTTTT